CTCTATTCCCCAGTAGAATTACATCCACAGATACACAAACCAAACCCGAATGCCAACAGATCCACTCAGACTCACATATCCCGTGAGGGTAGGGGCAAAGTAGCTCTGCCTCACAGAGCTCCCCAGGTTGTAACTAAAGCCAAAGGTCACATCCTTCTCCCGTGGAGCAGGTGATAGACTCAAACCACTGACATTGCTGTTAGGAGTCAAGTGCTTACCCACTGTGCCACCTGAGTCCCTTCCACAGGTGTCGGCATCAGCATTCAGAACACAGTATTGAGAAGGGCACAGCTCAATCCATTAACAGGTTATAAATCTGGACATTTGAGGAGGAGGAGGTTTGGGGTGGTCAGTGAGGAAGATGGGGGTGCTTTCAGATAGTGAGAAGGTGAGGCCCTTTATCACTGAGGCAGTGTGGGCTCAGCCTTGCTAGTGCTGTGTGAAGCAGCAGGCCCCAGACAGACAACAGAGGCTCGGGGCTTGAAATGTTGTGTTGAGGGGGGTGGCAGGCCCCGGAGAGGGCCAGCAGGAACCTGGGGGCCCGAGAGGGTTAGGGGGTCACAGTGGGGTGATTTAAGGGGATGTCCTGGGCTCTTAGGTTTGCTTAGGCAGCTGTCAGGACAGTGAGGGGCTTCTGGGCTCAGTCCTGGCCAGTCCTTTTATGCGCCCAAAGGAAGGGTTTGCTGCTGAAGGACCAGGCGAGGTCAGCCCTTTCCTTGTCTGGGAGCGAAACACAGCCGAGTCCTCAGGCAGGATGCTGGCCTTGCCTAGGCAGACCTTGTCCTGGTGGGGTGTCCATGACCAGGGAGTCCTTATAAGGGGAGACACAAGGAACGGGACGGTGAGTACAGTCTCCCTTCACCAGGACAAGGAGGAAAGCAGTGACCGGAACCGACAGGGTTAATCTGGGTTGTCTTGCTGGGTGGGGGGCACACCCCCCCTTCATTGGTGCATCAGCCTCCAGAGACCTGTGGGAGGTAGAATGGGGCGCATATCCACCCACTGGAGCTGACTGGGGTGGGGGGAGCAGTAAATGAGAAGTGAAGAGAGACCCAGCTGGCCTGTTTGTCTGTCCGCCTGTCTGCAGCCGACTGCAGGCCTCCCTTCCCGCAGGGAGCCACGCGGGACAGGTGAAGCCTTTCAACCAGCTCAATCATCGTATTTATTCTAATTGTATCGTAATCGTCCCCAAGGAGCCCGGTTCAAATGAGCTTGACATTATTAAAATTTTAATGCCCAGTTTTCATAGCTGAATGAATATTTAAAGGGTATGTCCCAGCTTAAGTTATGATGATGAAGAAATTAATGGAATGTCTTGTTTAATGCATGGATATGTGTTGATGCAAAAACTGGCGTGGGGTGGGTTGGGGGAGGGGAGGCAGAAGCAGAGCTGGAGGGTTGGGAAAGGGGCTGTGCAGTGCAGAGCAGAGACAGAACTGGGGGAACCAAGTTCTGGGGACCACTTGCTCCCCCTGAGAGGGGCCCTGACACACAGCCCCAGGGTTGGTGAGAGCCAGGGAGCTGTCTCTGACTCCAGAAGGAACTCTGGCTCCACCAGCCCCCTTCAGGGAACAGGAACGCCAAGGGTACCCCGCTGATACCTCAGAAAGAAGACCAGGAAGACAGGCGTCCCCCAGACACAAGCCCAGAGTCCCTAACAATGAGAGACAGCTGGACTGAAGAGTAAGGGCCAGGGAAGAAAAGAAACAAGACGGTGGACGGTAGTCTCTTGAACGTACCCTGAGGCTCATGGAGTTAAGGGAGAAGGGGGCACATTTAAGAGCAAGGAGTTGGCACTGTCCCCACCTTTTTCCTTCCCATCCTCCTTGGTTCTTCCTGCAGGCCTCCCTGGTCCTGCTCTCCGCATCCTCCTGCTTCTCCCCTCCCTCTAGTCTGTTCTCCTCATGTCTTCACTGCCGCCCTCCTCATCAGTCTTCTTCCTCCTCAGCTCCCTCCTCACAACCTCACCTTCCCTCTGCCTGCCTCGGCCTCCTCTCTCTTCCCAGGACAGGCTGGTCCACTCTGTCCACTCCTCCATCCTCAAGGCAGAACAAGGCAGGCCCCAGAGACCAGAAAGAAACAGGGAGGGAGACCCTCTACTTCGGGCCCAGACTCCTCCCGCTGAGCGGCCTTCTGCTCATGTCTGCTGAGAACAGAGAAACACAGGCTGTGCCCATTCTCTCCTCACCGTGCTCCCCCAGCCCAGCTCCTCTCGGACAGCCTCAGGAGGCTGTCTGGACAATGACTGTTCCCAGGTAATGAGAAATGACTCCTGACGCCACGAGTCCATGGAAGCCACTCAACTCCTGGAGAAGCATAAAGCCCCTGGTATCAGGGAGCCCCAGACAGCTGGTGAGAAGCTAGTGTGAAGAAGAGCAAGCCCCTCTATGGCATGGAGGGAGGGGTCTGAGCATGCCACCGAGGGCTGCTATGCCGGTTCTGTCCGAGACGGTAGCAAGCGATCGGTACTGAGGATGTGGGACTGGCCTGAGGGGCGAATGGAAGTGAGGTCTGTGATACCAAAAAGAGCTCTTTCCTTAGTCTCCGCCTAACCTCAGGCACACCCAGCTGTGCTCAGACTCTCACAGAAAAGATGCCGTGAAACAAAACACCCGAGGGATCACAGACCCCTCCCAGTGGTTCTGACCCTCCTCTCTGTATCACCCATAGATATGAGAGGTCCACCTTCCAGCTCTGGTCAGCCCCACTTCCTCTCTAGTCTCCACACACACTCCCCTCACTTGGCTCCTGGGGCAGTGACAGAGCCTGGCCAGGCCTCCTCTGTCTGCCTCTTCTCATTGAAACCTCCTCCTGCTCCTGGTTAAGGAAGACCCTCACTTGCTTACTTGCCTGCCCCACCTCCATCTGCCCATCTGGTCCATCCCCTAAGCCCATCTCATCTCACCTGGCTCTCAGCATCTCTGAACATCTCGTCAGACGTCCAGAGACCTGGGCTCTGGTTTTGGCATGATTGTTAATCGCTTGTGTGGCTTAGGGCTAGTTTCTTAATGTTTCTGAAAACTCACCTGTCTGTAAAGGTGGATAAGAGAAAGAGACTGCTGTAGACAGAAGAGAGGAGTTTGCAGGTGGAGGGTATGGTCTTGGGATCTTGAGGAGGCAGGTTCTGGAACAAGGGGAGGGAGGAATCGATGGAAGGGGTGTCAGGGCCTAGACTGAACACACTGGAGAACCTGGACTCAATTTGGTGGCCCTAGGAGCCTGGTCCCAAATGAACATATCCCCACTTATATTCCCCTGACCCCTCATGGCTGAGCAGCTGGGTTCAAACGAGTCCAAGGCTATGACGGCCGGTCTGCCATCGATGGCCAGTCCTGCACCTCCCCTGCCTGGCTGGGTCCCAGATCTGCCACTTCTCGAGGCTTTGTTTTCCTTGTTGGCAAGACAGCGATAACAACCCAGGGCTCACAAATGGTAAAAAGTCCATGACCCGGAAAGAGGCAGAAATAGGACCAAGAGCACGCAGGGGTGGGACATGACTCAGGGTCAGCCCTGGGGACTCTTGTGGAACAGGAGAACATTGTGTTTTGGAAGGAGTTCGGGAGGAAGGGGCTGCTGAGTCCCACAAGTGACCACGTTCCTTCCTCTTGGCACCCTCTCCCCTCTGCCACCAGCCTCACGGTCAGATGCCTGGGTGACCTTCTGGACCTTTCCCTTAAAGGCTAGGAAGAAGGTGGGTTTTCCCAGGCCCTCAAAAGGATTCCAAGAATTTCATTTTGTCCTTCTCTCTGTTGTGACAAATTCCACTGGGGTAGGGCTTACAATCAAAGGATGTTTCCTTCAGTGCATTAGGGAGTGTCAAGTGGGACCACATGGCAAACAGCCACTCCTGACACCCCCAGCATGGGCTGACCACCCCGATGGTCCCGTCTGTACCACCTCCACTCCTGTCGGCTGCACTCTGCCTTCTACCTCTGTCCTTTTTCACCATGAATCTGTCCTTCCCCTGGTCTCACCTCCAAGGTGCTGAGTCACAGGTACCCACAGCCTCCCCCCAATCCAGTTGTCTTGACAGAGCCAAAACTCACTTGGAATCCTGGACGAGAAAGTCTGAGGAGGCTGATGATTGGCTCGTCCAGCCCTGAACTGAAGGGAACTGGCTGGGAGAGCAAAAATCCCTCCAGAAGCTGTTTCCCAGACAGCTCCTGCCTCTGTGTGTGGAAAGCATACGAGCTACCCTTTGCCTTAGTGTCTCCATCTGTAAAATGAGGGTGGGAGTCAAGGTGTGGTTTAGAATCAGTCTTACTGATAAACCAGGGTTTGTGCTTGTGCGAGAAATTCACATGAGATTAAGGGTGAGGGGTGCGCGTGACAGCAAAAGCCCTTGAAAGACATGAAGTGTGATTCCATTGAAATGATTCTTATCATTTTTACTGTTTGAAATGGTCTGGGATCTCCAGGTGGCCAGCCCACCCTGGTGCCTCCCACAGATGGGAGGCATGAGACAGACTACAGGGCCTGATGCTGGGCGTGCAGAGACCCCTAGTGGCCTGAGTGGGGAACTGGCATCCTGGAGAGGCCTCAGGCTGGCTGCTGAAGTTGGGGTGTGTGCTATAGAGAATGAGTAGCTGTGCCCACCTGCCCCTCGACCCAGTCACAGTCCTGGCTGCGTTCAGGAGCCCCAAGAGCTTCAGCCACCCCTGAAACCCACAGCCCATGTCTGCAGGCTGGGGCTTGCTGCCAAGTCCTGGCCGAGATGGGATTAGTCCTTAGCCATATGAACTGTGCTGAGTGAACTAGACTGACCCAGAGATGGACCACAGGAGGGTGGCAGTGGCTATGTCGCCTCCAGCCCAGAGAATCTGCTCCTGAAGTCATGGGAATGGGGACTGGATGGACTTCAGGGAGACATGCATGCGTGGGGGGGGGGGGGAGCGGAGATGGTCTGCATATCCACATGCATCTGTGCACTTACAGGTAAAGGGTGCTTCCCCGCACCCCAAGGCCTGCTCTAACTCTGTGTCCTCTGTGTTCTGTTGCAGATGAACAGGCCGATCCAGGTGAAGCCAGCGGACAGCGAGAGCCGAGGAGGTAGTAGCTGCCTGCGCCAGCCCCCTTCACGTGAGGGCCCACTTGTCTCTGCCCTTCCCCTCCTCCACCCCCTCTCCCCCCATGCAGCCAGTCCCCTGCCTCCTCCTGCTGCTCCCTGTACAGGGCTTCAGAGCGGAGCTGAGCGGTGTGAGAGTGAGAGGAACGGGTGGGGTAGGGGCTGTGCGCCTTTCTGAGTGGACAGGAAGCATGTACTGGAGTCCCCTTCTGCCCAAAAGGTGCCCCCACCTCCGTGTCGTCACCAAGGTGCTAGGCTGGGATGGAGGAAGTTTAGGTTGACTGCCTGCCCCTGGAGGGGCTTAAGTCGGGATGGAGGGAAATCCAGGAAGGATGGCTCATATGGAGCCAGGAGGAAATGTGGGCACATAAGGAGATGTTTAGAAGAGAATAGAGGAGTAGGAGCCGGCCCGACCCCACAGATGCTGACGCCAGAATGTGGAACCTGTGAGGACCAGACAGGATGTGATGGGGTCCCTACATGGCAGCCTGGTTAGAGGACTTACTTGGAAGGCTGTGCTCTGGAAGAATAAAGGGCTGCCCTGTCCTCTGGTGACACTCCACTGACACAGTGCCTTTCTCCTGTCCTGCTCACCCCATCTCCTAACTCCCAAGGGTTACCTATGCCCACCAGGGGCAAGGCCCACATCCAGTGACCTCTAGGTAGGAGTGGCCGCTCCATGAGAAAAGAGCGCTAAGGGAAAATTAGAGGCAAAGAAAACATGTCTAATATGAAAGGCTTCCACTGCCAAGGTGTGGGAACCGCCTGCAGTGAACCAGCCTCCGTGATACACAGAGCCCTGTCCCCCTCACCTGTGGAAGAGGCCCACCCCAAAAGGTAGAAACCTGGCTGGCCAGCCTGGCGGCCAGAGGGGAGCATTCTACCCTTCCTGCCAGAATTGCCCTCATCTTCAGGGAAAGGGCTTCTAGCTCTGCACACCCCCTGGCATCCTGCCATCACACTGCACTTTGACCCCACAGTCCCACAACTCCTCCTTGGTCAGGTGGTCAAGCCCAACCTGTGAAGAGGTCGGTCAAAGTCTCCTGAGGGAAGACACTGTCCTCTCTACAAAAAAGGGGCCCGCCCTACTTCAGGGGCTCAGCCAGGTAGTGGGCAGAGCAGCTACTACCCACAAGGACGCTGGCGGGGAGAGATAACCACCCACAGCGTGGAGAAATCGAGAATGTGCCTGCGAGACCACAGAGAGGAGTGTGAGGAGTCAAGGCCCCTCCTGTCCTGAGAAGATGAAGCAGGATCACAGTACAGCCCCCCTGAACTCCCCTCGCATCCTTGCTCCCAAGCAGGTCTGTGGAGCCCAGTGTGAAGGCCCAGAGGACAGGACAAGGTGGCCATCACAGCTTTCTTCTGCCTTCCAGCCATGTGCCCTTGGCATCCTCTATCGGACTACCATTCCACCATTCCTTGACTTTCACCCTAGTTTCTAATGACAGATCCACCACCATTCCCCAGCTTAGGACTTTCTGCCCTCTCCAGGCCAGATGGGTCACTGCCCCATTAATTCAACTGTTGAAATATTCCCCTCTCTTTCATCACCCCTATCCCCAAACATCCACCAGCAGCTCTGCAGGAGAAAGATGGCCTATCTCCTCTTGTGCAATTTATAGCCTCAGAAAACCTGCTGGAGGATCAGCTATGAGTCGGTTCCGCCTCAGCGGCACATAACAACAATAACTACATCTCCGAAACACTCACATTTAGCAGCAAAATGACAAACTGTTGAATCAGCTGAAGCTTGCCAATTCAGAGTCCAGGTTCCTGTCCTGGAGGGAACTTCCGATAGTGTATTGTCAGGCGGCCTGCTTGTCCCAGACATTCTCTTGTCCTCCTCCAGCTCAAAGAGGATGCTGATCTGCACATAAGCCCTACGATGAGGTGATGTGAAGCCTTCAGACTCTCAATTTCTTGGGGTGGGGTGGGAGTGGGGAGAATGAAGGTGAAGGTCAGGCATACCCCTTCTCTCCAGTCTTTCTACCAACTCCTACACTAGCCATCCTTCCCAGTGTCAAATGAACCAACAAACGACGTAAGCATGGGCTTACCTGTGCTTATCTGCTTACATATAGAGTGAGCAGTTTCACATTTTCCACCACATTAATGATTCTGCCTCTTGGTATGGCTGGCATCTGTCTCACTTCTAACTTCACAGCACCTTTCTATAGAATCAAAGCCTCTTTTCAAAATGTACAATCCCTGATAAGGGCAGAGTACTCAGAAAGCCCAGTGTTGTGCTTTCTTACTAATCTACAGAGAATTAATTTTTATTACAGATTTGTAGAATCTGTAGCAGAAGTCAGCCCATGCTTGCCTTGTTCCATGTGTCACTTCTGCTCCCAGAGCATTCTACTTCTCTGCTGGGTTAGATTAGCCCTTGCAGTGGTCACACAGAACTGACAGAACATACTCAGAATTATAGGATTTATTAGGGAAGTAACACGTTCCAACTCAGGATCAGGAAGGACTCAGGATACAGTTCTTCAACCAAGACAGCTTCTCCTCTACGACAACCACAAGCAAGTTGATTCTCGAAGCCACTCAGCCCCTCAACCTCATGGACCTCTTGGACTAACCTCTGCCCTGCAGAATTGTTGTTGTTATGTGCCATCGAGTCACTTGTGACTCATAGTGACCCTATGTACAACAGCCCTAAGCTCTGCTCTATCTCTTGCCAACCTTATTGTATCTGACACACCTATCCCCATTACGCCAGTGCCGCCGGAATCAATCCATCTCATCAAGGGTCTTCTTCTCCTATGCTGTCCCTCCACCCTCCCAAGCATGATGTCCTTCTCCAAGGACTGATCCCACCTTGCAACTTGTCCAAAGTATGTCAGATGGAGCTGCAGAATCCTTACCTCCAGCTTGGAAACATCTACTCTGCCAGCAAACCTCTTGTCCTATGGTCCTCTCACCCTGTGGGCCAGAAAACCCCTTGTACCATCTCCTGTCAATCTTCTATTCTGTTGCCTTTCTGCTGCTCTTTCTCTGCCACTACTTTCCCCACGTCTTGCCATCTCCATGTTATTGCTCTCTCTACCACCTGAGTCTAGGAGATTCTCAGGATGAGGATCCCAGATCTAAAGGATGTACTCCACTCCCAGCTCTTCCTCCTTTGTGATAGTCAAGATCCCCTTTCTTGCTCTGAAATGGCTCATTTTAGGCCTAGTTATTGTTGTTATCAGTTGCCAACTCATAGCTGACCCTCCGGGAGGTTTTCAGAGACTCTGAAATCACATGGAAGGAGATTGCCCATCTTTCATCTGCAGAATAGCTGGTGGATTTGAACCACTTGCCTTTGAGTTGGCAGTTGAGCTCCTTAGGCACGATACCACAGGAGGTCTCTATTACACCCAGAGCGTGCCAAAACTGACTACGCTTCTCTGTGGGCTTCCATGCACCTTATTTGCATGGTCACACCACCACAAGGGTGTCGTGTACTTTACTTGCATTACTGATAAGCTGTCTGATGCCCGTAGTGGGCCACAAGCATCTTATTTGCCTAGTTCTATCCAATCATTTGGTGGGAGTTACCAGAGCATGGTGAGAAAGGCCATATGAAAGCCATCCATCGTACTGTATCCTCTGAGCACAGAAGCTCTCAAACTCCAGTTTCCTGGCAATGAGAGGAGACTGTCCTCTCACGACCTCACCCAGGTCTCTTCCTCGTGGCTCGAGAGCATGCAGGAGCTGGCACACAGCTGAGTGAGAGCCCTCTCTGGAGACCAGCACTGGGGCGAGCAGGCTCAGGAGTCCTGCAGCACCTCCAGGAAGCCAAGCAGAGTCCAAGCATTGGTCTTAGTTCTGATTGGAAGCAGGTATCTGACAATAGATGTCATCCTCCGTACCAGGGAGACAGGAGGCAGGTAGAGGATTGGATAAGGTGGCACTTGAGTCAGACTTGAAGGAAGGGGAGTTCTGTACCTGAGGGAAAATCAAGGGTAGCAGGAACAAGTCCGAGGGAGGTCTCTGAAGGGAGCAGCTGGATGCCCTGTGCTGACAGTGAGAAGCTCAAGGTTCAGCTGATTTTCCCTGGTTCCCAGAGTGAAGTGTCAGGGATCACCACTGTCCAGCTGAGCTCTAACAAACCCCTTCCTCCGTTACACTGCCTGCGAGGCAACAGCTCTCTAACTTCAAGTTGCTAACCTCATCTCCTTTCTTCCATATATCTCCTACCACTGACACTTGTCTCAAACCAAATTAATCAGCTCTTTCTTTTTCCTCGCAGTAGAAAGGGGCTGGGTGGGGGGAGATAAAGGAGGCAAACCTAAACATCTATCTATTAATTGCATATTCAATATTAAACCATGAGAGGATTCTGAGTCAGCACTATCACCAAGCTAATTTGTTTGTGGGTTGTGTTTTTTTGTTTTTTTTTTTTAAGGAGAGTCAGTTTAAAATAATTTAATATCCATTAAATACTTCTTCTAGGAGAAAGGGCTTGGGGTGAGGTGAACATCAGAAATAATTAAAGAAATGGGGATCAGGAGCCAGGAGGAAGAGAAGAGACTGATTGGGAGGAGGACGAGGGATGTGATGGGGAGTTGGAGGGGAGGAGTAAGGAAGAGAGTCGGCTGAGGAAGGGGGAAAGGGTTATGGGGAGATGGTAAGGGATTGGTGAAAACTGGAAGCACATATAGAAAATACATAGACATGTAAGAAAAGGAAGTGTCTTCCCTCATCCCAGCTCTGGTAGCTTTGTGCCTATGCTAGATAGGGTCTCAAAGACCCTGAGGCCATGGGCCATATATGCCCTCCAGATGCACTGAATGACAACAAAAAGAGATGATTTCTTTTCTATATATGGTTTGGGATGCATGTAGGTGCCAAGGTGAAGAGTACTGAAAGAAGTCTTCTTCCACCAGTCATGTCCCAGCCTCAGGTTTTAGGAGTTCCCTGGTGAGAGAAGGGATGGCAGAGCTGGACTAAATGGAAGAGTGTTGGAGAGGGGGATGGAGCACCTTTTTAAACATCTAGTTTTAATGAATGCTGGCTGGTT